GGGACTTTGTTTGGCTAAATAAAGATTTTTGCTGAAAACAAACGGTTTCGCGCGCAATTCAAGCCAAGCGGTACAATTGACGATGCGGATCGAGAATCCTATCGGTGCCAATCACTCCCGTTTTCGGTCAAAGAGCGCGAGCTATTTTTAAATTTCTATCCATCGACTGTGGATAGAGGACGCGCGAGGCTGAGCTTTTTTATGCTGATTTGAAGTGTTTCGAGAGGCCGAGATCGTTTATATCCAGGATAGTTGGATGAAAACAAAAAAAAAGCATTTGTTGTGTGAAAATATGGAGAGATTTTCAGGCGACAAAACACACAGTAGAAGTGCCAGGATTTGTTTCTCTGGTGTGAATTGTCGGAGATTTTTCAAAATGATAAAAGAAAAGGAAAACAGAGATGGAGGAAAGAGGCAAGTAAATTAACAATGACAGTAATGCTACTTGGCACGTGTTGAATTGGAAAAATCTTGCATGGCGACTTTCGATAATTTATTCTTCTGACGCAGGTGTAACAAGTGGATAAATACTTGGCCATTTTTTACGAAGGGATTTGCATGAAAAACTATTTTTTTTTTTTTTTTTCTTACGATGAAACCTTCTGCACACACGCTCGCTCTTTCTGTGCGTTTTTTATTTAGTTTTTTTTTTTTTTGTGATTAATCGCGTGAAATCGACGAAATAACATTCGAGATATACCTTTGACACCGAGATATAAGTATGACGTGAGGAAATAAACTTTCACTGTCGGCATAAAATGATGTTGGGTATTTTACAGAAGCTCCGACGAACCATTTTCACGGAGGAGAAAGTGAAGCGTTAAAGATCAAATTGATTAATTTGTTTCAGATGGAAATTGAAACAAGTGCCTGAATTTACGTAAAAGACTATACGGAAAGTATACAGTTGCTACGTCTATCGCCACTGGAAAAAGTAAGATTATTACCTACCCAATGTACACGTTCTTTAAAATATTAAATTTCTTTACACTTGGACAGAGCTAAGTTGAAAACGTTATGGGGTTAACAAATTTTATTTGCCACGGTAAAAAAAAGTATAAAACTATTATCTGCAAGATTTATTTTTAAACTACCTATAATTACTTAAGAGAAAGAAACAAATTTTTTTACTATTTTTAATGACTGCGTCCGGAAGAGTTTACTTGACTTTAAAAAACGAACTTGACAAAAAATTTAAATAAAGAAAAATACTACAACTTTTTTCGGAATGCACTTGACACGATGAATTTGTCTTTAATAAAAATCGGTAAAAATATTTGGATGCTAAACCGTACAATGTCTTGTTGTTGAAATTAAGTATGTCAGTGGAAGATTTAATTTTAATTTTTCATTGTATTGTACAAATGATAAAATAAAACATCATATTAAGAATTTTTTAGTTCAACAAAACATATTTTGCTGTCTAATGATAAAAAAAAAAAAAAAAAAAAAAGTTAATTGTAAAGGCCTGAAAGTATACGATCAAAAAACGGAAATACGTTTCTAATTTCGAAGTCGAAGAAAGTCGGTTTGACGTAAATTGCTCACGTTATACGGATTAGAGAAAGAGGAAATGTAAGTCAAGGTGAAGTCCCACAAAAAAAGGAGGCGTTGACATTAAATGATTTTATTTTCGTTCTTCTTTTTATAGAGCGTCCAACAATTCAAACACTTTATTCATGTGGGTTCAAAGAACTTCAAATCCATACAAAACATTTTATAAATAAAATGTTTTTTTATTTTTTTTTTTTAGGTCACACAAATTATATTTTTTCGAACGCACGTGGATATTGTTATAGTAAAATGATACTATTTAGAATTGAAGTTTCACCAATTGAGAAAATTGTTTGAATCACTTTTTAACTGTGTCATTAATAAGAATTTTTTACTATTCGACAAGGCTAAAAGTTAACAATTTTTACCTATTTAATGCACGATATTTGAAAAATGTAAATCTCATTTGAATAAATGTGTATCTAAATGTTAAACCTAAAAAAAAATTTAATAAAAGCGTGTTTAAAAAAATAAACTGACACCGCACTATAAGGACCTAATTGGCATATTCAAAATAGTTTGGTGCCGGATAGTTGAATAAATGCTAAAAACCATCGCTAACGTGAATAATGTTGGTGAAGTCTTGCCCCAAGTGAAAAAACAACGACACCCACACATCGCTCGCATAACACTCTGCTTCCCTTAGCAGCTCGAATTATTACGATTTCCTGTATATTGGTGCACATAAATCTCGAATAAAAATTAAGCATACGAGTTGCAGGAAAACCATATTAGTCTTCCTGTGAGGAATAACAAACGCGCGGATGTACGCCTACGTCAATTCCTCCAAACTGAACAACAAATTACCTAACGATGCAGCGCGTGTAGGCTCGAATCGAACGTAACACAAGCAAATCCTTGGCCCGAGCTATGCAATTATCGATGAAAAAAAAAAAAAATATGAAATAAAATTTAAAAAAAATGAATAAATAAACCGATCGTCGAAGGTAACCGAATATCGGCGGGTTTAATCCAAGACGGGGAAAAGGTGTACCATTACTCGGCTTATCACGGTATGAAGGTATACGTGGGAAAGAACTGGGAATAGGTAGAGCGCGTAGAAAATCGGTAAATAGGGCCATTAGGAAGAGGCACGGCTTGTTACATGGTCCGGGTCGGAGAACGTTCGCCCGACATGCTTTGCTCGGCTCTCTTGCGCCGTAAGCTTTGATTTACTTGGCTTGGGCGTACATATGTATAAAAGTGCGGCTTGTGTCATATACATGCCATCCCGGAGCCCCGGAGGTCAGCTTTGACGTCCGTAGTCACGTGGTACACACAGTCGGCACGCACACGCGCGCACATGTACACGCGCATTCCTCTCCGCACCCTCGCGCCTCGTCCTCGATCTCTTTCGAACGGTGCACCATCACCATACTCGCCATGGCACACGTAGTATATAGTTGCCACACATTTATTGTACGCGGTATTGATGCCGCTCATGGGATTGCACCGCGGCCGCAAACTCCGTCTCGTTAGTTCGCGATAATTTGCCTATTACCATGTACACCCTCTCGATCTTCTTCTGCTTTACGAAAATCCTCCCTTCTTTCCTACATTTTCTGTTTTTTTTTATTGTTCATTTTTTCATCGCAATCTTCTCTTTTCGATGCTCATACTTTCATTTCTCCATCACATTTCCATCCATTGCCGATTTCTGGTTCTGGTATCAACCGATCACTAGCGCAGGTTTTTTTTTTTCATTTATTTTTCTTCCACTCCAGCAATGTAATTATTTTAAATGTTAACATTTTTCAATGTAAATTTAACAAATGTTCTATCAATCGAAACCACTTGGCAATCACAGCTCGATCGGTGGAAGAAAAAAGAATAGTAAAAGTGCACGCACACGCAGCTTAAAAAGTGCAGAGTCAACGTGACCATTATTAATAACTGTAACGATGGCGTTGCGGTGCCCGAGGCAGTTAGTTGCAGCAATTGAAATACACGCGTGCTTTGTGGTACATAAAAAATTAATGTTATTTACAAGCGAATCGTTCGTTTGTGTTGGTAGTTGCTCGAGCAAAGAGAGATTACGAATATCAACGTCGTCCTTTTACCAAGGCTTCGCTCCTCGATAATGTTTCACTCGACAATTTTTATATCTCGGCTGTGAGAATTAATTTTTTTACGCTGGTTGATTTTTTTTTTTTTTTCAATATTTCTAACGATTTCAACGCACGGCTGTTATCAGTTTCACGCTAATTTTCTTGGTTTGCTTTGCACCATTGTTTGCGCGTTAATTTTTTTGACACCATAGAGAAAATGTGTAATTACGTAAAATAAATTACGCGCATTGATTTGTCTTTTCGCAAAGTTGGTATTTCTTTTTTCTACGAGAACTTGAATAAATGACAACGGCACAGGCCCATAATTTTTAAATTCAACCGACACGTGGAATTTCAAATAAACTAGTTTGACGCGTCTGCGATTACAAAAATCTAAACCGACTCTCCGATGGTTCAGAAAGTCTTTTTTTTCGGTCCCTCATTCATTTTCGTGCAGGCATTTTTGGTCACGTTTTCGAGTCGGTGGTAACATCTAACCAATAGTTCAATTTTTTTTTACAGCAATGGAACTTTTACTTGTGTCTACGATTAACTCCATGATCAAACTACTCCAATCACCTAAGCTGAAGAAATTTATGTACATTATTGGGTAAAAAACCAGATGCATCAATAGATGCTCAGGTCAGATTTGTAAACTATGAAGCACATAGGAAGAAAAATTTTGGGAAACAAAACGTTTAGTTTTTTTAGAATAAATTTTTGAAAACCTCGTTTAAACATTTGCATACAAATGTGTGTAAACTAGACAAAAGATTATTTTGCATCTAGCTTTTTTTTTATTTTACAGAGACTTTAAAACGTAATAATTTATGTAAAAGCCACTCAAAAATAAGTACGCGTATTTTGTCCACTCGCAAAAAGTAGTTAGAGTCGCGTATACACCGCATCGTCCTTCAACTCGAAAAAAATAAAAAAACTAAATCTTAAAAAAAAAATGTATTCGCATCTCAAGTAAATTGAAAAAAAAAAAAAACATTACCAACTAGTCGTATCTACAATTTCAGCATAAAAACGCTGTTTGCTGATTAAAAATTGCGAGCGAGCATGTGCCTTTTATTTATAGAACTCGCGCGCTCATTGGGACTCACCCACGCTATAATTGTATGTGCATTGTAGAGGCGATTATTTGACGGTCGTCGCTTTCGATAAGCTGCAACGGAGGTCGGGTGGGTAGACGAAAGTCAAGAGATCAATCCTAGCTCAGGCAGTGCTCGTACTTGGCTCCAAATTACTGTTTTTGCAGATTAAAAAAAAAAAAAAAAAATAGATAGTTCATCGTTGGGAGACAATCAATGTAATTAACTCGAGTAATATTACAAAAAACATTTTATTATATATAAAAATGTAGAAAATTTATATAGCTAATCACCACAAAATAGATATATATCGATATTCTCTAAAAAAACACAACGTATGGTTGTAAAACACTTCACTCGGCTGTCACTGCACACACCATGCGTAGATCAATAATTTAATCAACGAGGACAAATCAGTCTAAAATCGTTTGTTAATGTACAAAAATACATATAATATATTTACAAGTTAATTGGTACCAAGAGCACCAAAAGGAAAATTCGATCGCGTATGTGTGCATTTGTAACGCACCCAAACCGTTCGTCTTACACGTCACTGCTGGTAAAAAAAAAAAAAACAAAAAAAAAACGCGTCTCTCCAGTCTCTTACTGCGGTTCCATAATCTCCAGCACGTACTCGAGTATCTGAATGAGATCCCGCTCTTGCTCTCCAGCTCCCGAATCCGGCACCGACAGCTGCAACCTTAGCCTACTGATGGCCGTCTGTATGCACTTGGCAAAGCCCGCGCTTCGAGCTATCAACTTGCCCTTCTGGTTGTTACCGATCAGCGGCCAGAGCGTCGAGCACGCCGACTCGATCTCCGTTCTCGAGCCTTCTTCCAGCGAGACCAGCAACAGATCGAGGAATTCAGCTGGAAGCAGATTTTTTTTTTTTCTTTTTACTTTCGTTGATGTTCCTTGCAGTCCTTTTGCAAGCCAGTAAACAAATTTATTTGAAACAGTGTGAGTACTTTTTAATAATTACTCACCGGAACCCAGCAGACGCGCACGATTGGATTGATGATAGGCTAAATTTCGAAGGGTTGCCATGGCTAATTGTTTTATGGGACCAGACGATGTCCGTGCTAACGTGATGAGTACTTCCAAACTATCTACAGCCTATAATTATTAACATTAGATAATCAGCCATACAATTGTTGCAATTAAACGATAAACGAGGCTTTTGAAGATAATTGCACAACGATTTTTGGAATAAAAAATTAAAAAATCACCTCGAATCGGTTGTTTTAATCGCTTGTAATGTATGCGTCAAGTGCGTGTAACAATACCATCCAAAAAACTGGTTTAACGAATGATAAAACAAAAAGACAACGTACCTTGGAGACGCTCATTTGACCTTCCTCGTAAAACGTAAAGTCTATTAAAAATTCGAGGCAATGGAGCTCCACCACTTGCCAGAGTTTTGTTCTCTTGGTCGTGGAAGGATGAATCTTTGTGAAAAATTGCAAGAGATTGCTCTGCAGCAAAAATAGAGCGTAGAATTAAGCGAATTGCGACATTGACGAGACGCATTGAGCTAGTCAAAAATCGCATATAAAGATCGTGCGTCAATGTTGGGTCGCAAACAAGTTAAATTTATTCATTTAATCTCTATTTAAAAAAATTTTTTTTTTAAATTAATTTCATCAACATAGCGATAATGGTGAGAAATTTATTTTTGTTTATCAACCATCAACTTGATGAAATGCAGTTGCACAAAGTATTGTGAGCTAAATTAAAAATTGCGCAAATTACCTTCGATATGACGACGCGACAGTCGTGATTGTGGATTGCATTCCTTAATACCTGCAGAGCCAGGCTTAGCTTTTGAGAATTAAAATTACGCCCGATCGAGTCGATTTCTTTAATGACCATTTGTACAATGACGTGAACCAACGATATGGAATTCGGGGTTTTTCTCAATCCTACGCCCGGCGTTACCGTCGTCAGAGGCAATGACTGTGAAGCTGCAAAAAACCGAGGAAAACACCATTGTTCTTTGATCATTTTTTTTCAGGCCACGGACTAATGCGTGAAATGCCCACTTTTTTACAACAGGATTACCATTTGCGTATGCATTTTCAAACGTAATTGGGTTTTTTTTTTTTTTTTTAGAGAAGTACGAGAAAAAAAGTCTCGATATCTTTAAAGTTAACTCCGATGACGTATGGCTAGTAATGTATTAAATGTTACATGATTAGCATACAAGGGAAGAGGAAAAAAAAAAATCACTGAAGTCTTAATGTAAAAGTTAATCAAGAATGTCTTTCTCATCGACGCTTTTAAATCTCTTACCTTCCAAGCAATCCGAGGTGAAATTAGAAAGCAGCTTCAAGCTGGTGACGAGTGTTTGTCTGTTCATCGACGTATAGGCCCATAATTTGTGAACGACGTCAGCCAAACCGGCCTTGGCAAAAATTTCTTTGGCCTCTTTGCTATCGTACATGAAGTTCATTAACATCACGTACAATGAATCGACCTCCATTATCAAAGGATTAACCTGCAGCAAAGAAAGGTGAGTAAAAATGAAACTTGATGTGGAACAGGTTGTCACGACAACGCGTGGCTCGGCGTTGTCATCTTCACATTAAGATATTAGGAGGAAAAAATTGGGAAAATCCACGTGTTCTCGATCCTGTTTACTTTGGTGATGTAATTTACAGGACTGACAAAAAGCAGTAGGTAAACTCTGATAAAAATTTAGCATCCGTAAGCGATACACGAGATACTCTTACCTTTTTCTGCTCGATTTGCGTTTTGTACGTTTGAATCGGAATGGAATTCAGCTTGACGTAAATTTCCTTCAAGACCATGAAACAGGTAGCGGGAAAATTTTCTTCGATCGCCAGCTTCTTGGCCTCCACGGAGACACTTAATAGATTCGAAAGTGCCAAGGTAACCACATTTTTGTCCTTTAACAGCGCGGTCTTCTTGATCAGTTTCGTGTGATTGAGCGCCACGTACAGAACCATGAGCTCCTTGCAAATTTCAGCCCCAATGTGCAATTCACGATTGCTGGTCGGATTTTTATTTTTGCCAACTCTCCTGGGCGGCGACGCTTTTGGCTCCTTGTTGGCTGTCTGAGGGGCTTGCAGTTCGCTGTTCCAGCACCCAGTCGATTTTGCGGACGGAAATTTCGTATCTAGTGCGTCCCTTAAGAAACCAGATTTGTCATCATCCAGCTGCTTTTGCATCTCGATAGACAGTAAAAATGTCAGAAAACCGATCGCGCTCATTCCGAGCTCGCCCTTGTTGTTCTTTATCATGTGATACAGCATATTCGCAAAAACTTCAATGTTGCAAGTACTTAGAGCGATCTGGACTGCATCAGAGTGCTGATTTTCGGTCAAAGTCAGAGAAACTAAGAACTTTAAGATTTCGGTGCCCAACTGATTGCGCAAATAAACTAATGTCGGACTGTCTGTAACTGAAGAAGTATTTTATGCTTATGAGTCGTCGAGTAGTTGAGTTTCAGGATACTTACAGTACAGATCTTCGTTCAATAAATCGAACAAGTGGCGAATGAATTCCGGAGAAAAGGTGACTATCGATGCAAACTCGAGACTGTTAATGATGCAATCCGTGAGTACAGTGCAGAGTTTCGTGTACATTTCCAACACGTTGCTGTAGTGCTCCAAATGACACTTGCCGCTTATACTTTTCGGTATCTCTCCAAAGCACCTAAACGAACGATCTCGCCATCATTTTAAACTCCAAAATAAGGGAAACAGAAAATTTGAACGTACCCCATAAGATGTTTGTGAACCGAGTTTTCAAAAATTTCACGTATAACTTCTTGTCTACCAATGTCGATTAAATAATTGAGCATTGAGCACAACGACGTGATCATCGAAGGGGTAGTTATAAATTCCATTTGATCGTCATCGATATTTTCGGAATCTAAAAAATGCAATTGGTTGAAAACAAACGGAAATTAAAATGACCACTCGTCGTTCGACTCACGTCCTTGAATATCCTCGGGACTATTGTACAAATAATAAATGGTCTTTGGCACCGTAGAAACGCTAGTAGCTGTGCGACTGCTGGCTAGAGATTGCGTCTGCGTGCCGCCGTTTTCCGAGCTTTCGGATACATCAACATCCAAAGTCGCCAGCATGTAACAGTTGGCGCACATTGCCGCGATCTCTTGGTACACGTTGGTCTCCTTCACATAAGACAACATTGCACTGGGATTTAATCCGTCAAGCTAAAAAAAAAAAGGATTCACAAAAAAATTTCGCTACCCAAAATAACGGCTGTACAACAGAGAGCTTACGTATTGGAACGCGACCGTCGAGGAGTTCTTGATGAGGTGGCTCATCGCGAGGCAAGCGTACTCCTTCACGATACACGCCTCGTCCCGACACGTGACGAAGTAAAGCAGCTCGTAGCACAGAGCTTCTGGCGTTGAATCTATGGCGTTGAGCAGTTGCAAGGCTGTGTGCGGGCCGTTGATCAAGCTGGCGAGGAGCTGGAGCGCCGAAGCTCGGATCAGAGGATCGCGGCTGCGCCATATCAGAGGCAGCCAGGTGAGGGAAGCCATTCGCCGGTCGTCTCGCGTATCCGTGCCGTACCAGAATTTTATCCAGTGCTTTGGAAAGAAAAAACATTTGTTCGGGAGACAACGCCAGGGAGTAGGGAGATCAGTTATGAGTAACAAAAGTCGTACTTACGTTTTTAGTCAAGCTATTTTGCATTTGGTAGAGTACGTGATTCAAGCTGATCATGCAATTCCTGACGTTGGTCAGCCCCTTGAAACTAAAACTGCCTTCTCTGGAGAAGGACACCACCAGCTGAATGAGAGCTGTACCGACGGACATGAGCAGCTCTTCGTTATTCTTCCATTGGCATTTAACAATCACGTACGTCAACGTGGACAATACCCATTCCAAAAAAGCTAAGATGTGTGGAAAAAATTAATAATCATCGCTAATCACTCCAAATATTGAAAGATAGTACCCACCTAGATTATAAAATTCGTCACTGAATACGTGAGACACCGTGAGCTGGACGAAACTAATCCACGCCCTTTGCGATTCCTCGTTTTCCTCCGTGTCGATCAGCGAACAAGCACGTGTCAGCTTGAGCATCGACTGATGAACGTTTCCGCTATTGGGTCCCGAGCTCTGAATCCAATCGTCAAACGATTTCATCATTTTTTTAACAGCTTTGAAAACCCACGTTGCTTCGTCTGAAAAAACGTTTATCATGTTGTTTCGTTCAATTTTACCGATAAAATGGTAACGTTTCTAGTACGTCAGGGGTAAAAGTTGACAAATTACCACTATTTGTTGTTTTTAAGTACAAATGAAGGAAATTGAGAACGCTGTCGAACAATTCGTAATCGTCTTTGTTGTTTGGATGAGCTTGCAGGAAGCGCTCGAAAGTGTTTTCCCATGGAAGCCTTACCACGTTTTCAAAGTTCTCGTAATTAATCAAATGGCACAATTTTAAATACCTAAAAATTCAAAAATAATGGGTAAAATTATTTTTAAAGTACTTTTTTTTTTTTTTTTTTTTTTTTGCAAAAATTCTCTAGCTCAGAATCTCACATTGTAAGATAATCTATTGCACAAAACACCCCCTTGTGAGTGATGGAATTTTGAATGCTAAACAATTGACGCTGCGAATAAAAATGTAACGAAGTGAAGCTCAAACATGCAAGCTCGGTCTCTCTGAGCATTAAGTTTTGCATAATCATTGGATCATTGATGTCTTCCCATTTTTTCCACAGTATCTTCTCACCGTCATTCCATTGCCAAGCCCAGTACTGTCTGAGAAACGTTGAAGCAATCACGTTGCTCCTATGCGAAACTATGGGAATACATGAACGTTTAGTTTTAAAAATAGAATTGATAATTCCAAGTTTTTACATTGGTATGGGAACATACTTGAGATGTCTGATCTTCTGTGAACACTAGTTTTCCAATGGGCCTTACATGTAAATGGAAGTCGCATGTAGATCGTAATTATGTGCGGCAAAGATATATTGTATGGGTTATTGGGAGTTCGTTCTGTAAGTCTCATTATGTATCCGCTATAAAGAAGCAGTGCCAAAAGGTGCGTAGCGTCATTTTTGATGCACTCGTTGTTAGAAAATAAAAATAGGCTTCTCAAAATATTGTTATAAACGTCTATTCGATTGGATAGTTCGATTCTCACAGAGTTTTCGGAAGATACGAGATGTTTTAAGATTGTTATTATCGGTATCACTGAGTCTGGATAGTCAGAAAACTCTCTCTCGATCTGAAAAAATATTTTTTGGTAAGAAAAATCTAGATCAAAGCTCGTACTCATTTATCAAAGGTAAACATTATTACCAGAGCTTTTGAAAAAATATCCAATATAATTTTTAAGCCATTTTCCGTAATGAATACCTTGTGCAACGATTGGTCTGTTACCAACACGCTAATTTGCACCAATGCTGACTTTCTTACTTTTGGTTCTATGTTTGACGTTCTCAACATTTCAAGCGTCGAAACAAGATTACTTTTCTGTAATAGTTATAGGATTATGGACGAAATCACATTGCAAAAAAATCTCATTGTTTTAATACAATACAATGCTTTATCATATTACCGGATAATGTCCTTCAGATCGTTTGAAAGACACTTGCTTGTCGATGGCAAAAATCGAACTAAGAGGAAGACCATGTAGTGTAGAAAGACGTGGTAACTTTGAAGCTGAATCTTTTTCTTGCCCGAGAAGCCAAAATATTCTGCAAATCGCTTCTTCTCTCGCGTCGGAAATTTGAGAAAACAATAATCTGATGTTTCCTCTCAGAACCTATGGAAATAAAATTTGCAAGCGTACATAGCGTCGACATGATCAAAGTGCAGTAATTTATAATACCTCTATAAACGGAAGTTTTAATGTAGAAGACATGTCGGGATCTAGCATTTTTATTATGAATTTTCCTAGTGGAGATGCTGGATTCGCTAGACATTGTATAAGTGGAAGGACAGGAACCAGTGCTTCTAAGAACTTTAACCATCCAGATTCAGTTAATTCGACTTTTCCTTTTAACAAAAATAGCAAAATTTCTTCCGCCATTTTTTGAATCTAAAAGTATTGTAATCGTTACACGTTGCTCAAAATAATTCTAAAAAATTCTTCAGTATTTATTACCTTTTCATTTTCATGCGTCACTCCGTAACAAATTATTTCTGTCAATACAGCGGACTCCAATAAAAATATTAAATTTTTCCAACTATATCTAGCATTTAAATCTGTAAAAATTGCAGAGACCAAACAGTGGCACTCGTAATACGTCACTTCTTGAACATCACCGTCACTATGAGCAAGAAGTGCAAGCAACATTTTTGTTGTTATTTCTTTGTCTTCTGAACTTAATTTGTAACCAATCTTATTTTGCGCCAAAATCATAAACTTCCTTATCAATTTAAAATTTTTGTGATACACCAAACTAAGTTTTGATGAGTAAACTACTTTCAATTCTTCCGAGTAAGTTTGCTCCTTAAAAGCTTTCATCAAAGATATTGCAGATTTCATCGATTTTGTAATCAACCGCGTTTCATCCAACAACTTCACTAAAGCAGACTCTTTAGAACCACGAAATCTCTGTAATAAGAAAGACAGCTATGAAATTTGCATTTTACAAATATCAAACATAAATGGAACTGGTATATTACCCTAGCATATTGTTGCAAAGTTACGTGCAATGGCTTATACATCAAATAAATGGGAGCATCCATGAGTGCAGTACTCATGGACAGTTTCATTTTATTTGGTATTACTTGATCAGCTACTTCTAATGGAACAATATTGCCAATTAGCTTGACTGATAGCCATAAAAAATATATGTAAGTTACTCTGTGATAGTCCACATGAGGGAATTGACCAAAATAATCTAAAATTTCACTTAGTAGTTCAAACACTATTTTAATACTATCTTGAATGTTCAAAGCAATGTTATCATTACAAAACCATACTGTTGGCATGACACTGACTATAAGTAACTGATCTAGTTCATACACTAAATCTGCAATATATCTTATTATCTTTAATGGACGATCCGATTCACTGGGGATATTTACCAACTTGAGTATGTTTATGAGAGTTTCTGTACAATAATTTGGAATAAACATTTGTTGCAACTGTAGCACAGATTCTTCTTCAAAATCTACCATCAAGTTAGGACTTCGAGTACATTCTCTCTGAAAAGTTAGATAAATTATAAATAAAAGAAAATAGAAATCCTAAAATATTGTTTAAGCATGTTCTTACTTCTGGTATTTGGCTTGGATGGTAGTTTTGATCAAGATACTCTTGATCTTCGTTCATTCTTTGGTCAGATTCGTCATCTTCATCTTGAAAATTTCTCAATAAAACCTAAAAAAATCAATTTTATTGAGCCTGAGTTGAAAAACAATCCTTGACATAATTAAATAAGTACCTTCTGAGGTTTATGTGCTATGCTTGGATCACAGTAATAATTTATTCTAAATCTAAGGGCGCGAGTTAGTTTGTACAGAGTTTTTAATATTGCTATAATTAAATTTTGTGACTCTTGAGTACATTCCTCTTTATAAGAATCTAGAAGATTTAATAGAACCTAAAAAACGTGTTAGGATTATTTTTATTGAAAATTTATGCATAATTTAAATTTTAAACATATTACATGAACAGTTGTTGGTCTGTGTAGGAAAATTTCAGCTGCAAAATCTTGTAAAATAACGTTTGTAATAAATTGGCAATTGGTAATTTTTTTATTGACATCGATGGAATTGCACAAGCCATTTTCCAATTGGGCGAGTATTCCTTGATCTGATTTAACCAATACTTGCCATGGCATAACTAACCACTTTATACTACTGTCTGATCTTTTAGGTACATCATTTTGGATAGTATCTCCATCATTCGTCGTCAAGTCGAATGGCAAAGAACTAAAGAATTATATTATTACACGTTTTATTCCAGCCTGTGAAAAAAAACTACATATCACTTAAAAATTAATTTACCCATCCAACGGAGACACAGCAGAAAAGCTATCAGTTTCTGAGATATTATGCGTACTTTGATACTGATGCTTGGTATTTGTAATTTTATTGTTAAGAGCTGGTACTTCCTGCATGAGATAACATAAAGTATATACTAATTGTATGGTAACTGTAGTGATTGAAAAATTAATAACATACAGCTGTGTACATACCTCATAATTTTCTAAACGTTTATTCAGATCGGATGCTATTTCTTCCATAATTTTTAATTTATCATGCCATTTTGAATGTAATTTCAGTCGTAAGCTCTTCAGCTCATTTAGAAATTTGCCTCTTCCAAAAGAGTTCAAATAATTGCCATTATCTGACTAAAATGAGCAAATGTATAATTTTTTTTGTTACAAATTTATTCATTTAAAACGCTGGATCTATTCGCACCAAATTAACGTAAATACGTGGATATCATTCAGTACAGAAAACGGGGTGTGTGGATAGTACCATTGTTAATTACGTAGGATATTATAAACATTATATCCACGTTTACGTGAATATTACAGCCTTACATCCACATATTTACGTGGATTTAGTGCAAATAGACCCAGGATATTAAAAAAATTAATTTACCTTAATAAGCCTTATCATCAAGTCCAGTACTTTTGCCTCCTCAGAAAGGGGTTCAGTTGAAAACCATTTAAAAAGTTTGACAAGCAGTTCTTTTTTGACAGCACTGCAGTCGCATTCAAAGCCAAGATCTAACTTCGAAACTACATTATCTAGAGCTCTGAGTCGAATCTCGTGAATTTGATGATCTTGAAAAAAACAATGCTCATAAAAAAATTGAGTCAATAAAAATGTATAATTCTCATCACCAACATACACACACAGAGAGCAATATCAACAAAAACAAACAAACATCAAAAAACCACACGCACAGAGTGTACAACTGTTTAAATGTAATTTAGACTAAAATTAGACAAATTTTTTCTTACGAACCGAGTTTTCTTATGTGCACATTTGTTATTGTGCCCAAAACAGACATTTTTTACAGAAAAGGTATACAATTTAGCTGTTTTCAAGAGGTTATAAAATAGCATGTCTGCTACGCACTGTTTGTAAACACGCAAGTACATGTTCAATGCTCCATTCTTAGGAGACTCTTCGTGTGACTGCGCTTCTTTTTTAGGCCTTTTTTCCTCAGTTGTCTCTTTTAGACTCATTAATTTATGTGTATATTTGATCGTTATTTAAGATTTCTGTAACACAAATTTTGCTGTGTATATACTATATAAGTTAACTGTTTATTGGAACTATAAAGTTAAAGGGCTGTGCTTCCATGAGTTAATAGTAAAAGGTCTAAAGTATTGTAATTTTGTAAATATGATCAATTTTATAAATCATAAGTATAAGTAGAATATTTATACTTTTCAAAGTAGATTTTCGGGTAAAAGATAATTCGTAAACTTGCCGCTGGTAGCACAATCATGTCAACTTTTATTTGTCTATCTAAACGGTTAGTAAACGATTAGTTCCGGCTAGTGTATATAAATATACATTGTGTATTTATAATTACGTATTCATATATATATGTATTGTTACACATAAATTAGGTGTTTTCCGCAATCGTCACCAGCAAGTAATTTAAGGTTGCGCTCTACGTTACCGTCAGGTCGGTAAGTCAACTACCTTGAATTAAACTGGCGCTCTGTTCCGTAATCTGGCCAGTTAAAATAGCAGACGATAGTCAACAGCGATGAAATCTTCACTTTTTTCGCGACTTTCACGTCGTCTGCTGTTTTAACTGGCCAGATTACGAAAAATAGCAGTTTAATTCAAGGTATACCTTGAATTAAACTGCTATTAAATTACTTGCTGGTGACGATTGCGGAAAACACCCCAAGCGGCGTTACCACCACGACCTACGTAACTTTGCAGCCTCTGATTTTATCATTCTGGTAAAGAGAGCACGGTGTAAGATGTACGTGAAGTTATGTGAAGTAATTAAAGTAATTACTACTAAGTAATGCCATATGGTCGATTTTATTAAACCATATGAATATCTACATTTTTGGAGGTCAACTTTTGGATAAAAAATAGATTGTAAACTTGCCACAAACAGCACAGACCACGTCAAATTTTTATTATATATCTATGAAATTAGTTGCGGCTGGTTTATAATTGATTAAATGGCTCTAATATAAGAAGTAATTATAATTTGGATCAGCGCCATCTAGCGGTCTTTGTTTTTTGGCCAAAAGTGGCTCCTAAAATTCTCAATCAGAGCATTCAGGATTAGAGCAATTTAGTCAATTATAAACCAGCCGCAACTCATGATAAAGCTATAAAATAAAAAAATAACGATATATGTTTTTTTGGCGGCAAGTTAACAATCTATTTTCTACCAAAAAATCGACCTCCTATGTGTTTGTACTTTTGAAGATAAATTTTCAAGCACAAGATAGATTGTTACTTGCCGCCAAAAAAATATATATCGTTATTTTTTTATTTTATAGCTTTATCATGAGTTGCGGCTGGTTTATAATTGACTAAATTGCTCTAATCCTGAATGCTCTGATTGAGAATTTTAGGAGCCACTTTTGGCCAAAAAACAAAGACCGCTAGATGGCGCTGATCCAAATTATAATTACTTCTTATATTAGAGCCATTTAATCAATTATAAACCAGCCGCAACTAATTTCATAGATATATAATAAAAATTTGACGTGGTCTGTGCTGTTTGTGGCAAGTTTACAATCTATTTTTTACCCAAAAGTTGACCTCCAAAAATGTAGATATTCATATGGTTTAATAAAATCGACCATATGGCATTACTTAGTAGTAATTACTTTAATTACTTCACATAACTTCACGTACATCTTACACCGTGCTCTCTTTACCAGAATGATAAAATCAGAGGCTGCAAAGTTACGTAGGTCGTGGTGGTAACGCCGCTTGGGGTGTTTTCCGCAATCGTCACCAGCAAGTAATTTAAATTTGCGCTCTACGTTACTGTCAAGTCAGTGTCAACTATAGTAGAGTGGATTGAAGTGTCCGAAAGTTCTGTACCGACTGTACCGAAAGTCACCGATTGGCTCCACCATTTTTGGGACAACAATGTTTTTAATTTTTAAACAATTCTGCAGTTTATTTGTATGTGTATCGACTGGGAGTTGAGACATATAGCTGTCTGGTTGTGAACTCAAGTTTTGAAGAAATTGCATAAATAATCCTAGATCTACATCGTAGATTCAGATAAGATAACTAAAGATAATTTTACAGATGCTGCAGCAGTATTAGCAAAGGCAAAACAATAGCAAAAAAAAGTATGTAGAATGTAGACCATATAGTGTGTTGTTGGTTGTGCTTGTGCATTGTGTTCACGATGATTTGATTTTTTTTTTTATGATTAATTGCGCTACTAAGAGTTGAAACTACAGTGAATAGTAAGAAATACTTACGTGGAGGAAAGTCATCGCTGCAGTCGCGGTCGTCGGTGCAGTGTGTTCTACTTACCTTCGCTTATAGCAGACGATTATATTTTTTGCCATTATTTTCGTAGGTTAGTTTGACATGGTTGTCATGGAAGTACTTATTTATGTCATTAAAAAAAAAATTTATTTTCGTTCACAGACGAATAAGCACTTGTAAGTTCCTATGATCAAGTCTCAATTTGCATAGCAATAATGCAAGAAGACGTATTTCCTGCCGCAGAAAAAATTTTATCCGAAATTGAAAACGTGTTGAAAAAAGATCCGAACCTTGAGAGCTTTGGCATCTTTCCAGCAGAAGACAACGAAAACAAATCACCAGTGCTTCACGAAGAGAATGCCTTGGGCTTGGCTTCTTGGTGCGTTAAGCCTCTTTACTGTCATGTTTACAATCGTTTGTTGAACTTGAGGCAATCTTATCACAGAGAAGAGCCAGCATTAGTCATACGATGGCTGCTGGGAGCTCTTTTGCTCAATCCTGACGTTACAACCTTTTGGAACATGAGAAGGGAGTTTGTTAAGAATGGCAGGCTCAATCCCCAGGAAGAGTTGCGGTTTTTAAGTATTGTGCTCTACGACAAAGCCAAGTGCTTTGAAATCTTTTCATACAGGCGATGGCTTCTGAAGCTTATGCTGATGGATGGCAAAGATTTGACTAGTGATGCAGAGACTTTGTTACGCAATGAATTCCAGGTGACATCTATGGCAGCTGAAAGGTATAAGAATAACAGTCATGCTTGGAGTCACAGACAGCAGGTACTCTTGATGCTGGAATCACTGTGTGCCAGTAGATTTTATAGTATTTTGGAAAATGAGTGGGAGGAATCGACCAGATGGTGTAATAGCCATATTTCAGATTACAGTGGCTTTTCATACAGGCAGTTTCTGTTGAGAAAGTTACTCGTGCAAAAGCAACACCCAAAACAGCCAATACCTCCAGCAGAAATTTTAACGAGACGTCGAGAAATCATCAATAACTTTTGTGTGAAAAATAAAAACAACAATTACATCTTGCACGACGCTACTTGTGAACAGGTGCTGAATGTGTTGCACAAAGTAAATCCTAAAGAATGCCCAGGTGTAAAATACGAACAGACGTTAATAAATCTATCCTATTGGACAGAGGACTGCATGTTCAATGAGGAATTGATTAATATGTTTCCTGGACACGAAGCCCTGTGGAATCACAGGCATTATCTTGTGTACTCTTTTATTGCTTTACAAAACTCCTATAAAAACTTTTATTCCTATAAACCTGAGTGTTTCGAACCACCTCGAAACTTGGAACTGTTTAGAAATAACAGCACTGTTGAATTAGTAGAAAAATTTTCCCAGAGTCCTTTGACAACTGCTTTCTGGGCACGTAACAAGGAGCTGAACGACACGCACAAGAGCACATCTAGGGATGACGATCCTGCCAATAGATTTATTACAAGGAACGTTCTTTGCAATTTGAAAAATGGGTTGCAAAACAAGTAGATCGTTCATCTACATCTATGTATTTTCATTACTTAAGGCTGCAATTCTCAAGTCAAATTATATATTTATATTACGTATTCAATTTTACGTCAATAGTACACTCTGTACCATGAGCGCAAACTACAACTTACACGGTCACACGCCCAAAGGGCGAGACTGTCGTTCGTTTGTGCCTGAATAGCGAACAACATTTTTCTTATCAAGGGCACACTTTGGGCCCACTAATCAAAACACATTGTCCGCCCGTGGGCGCAAAGTGACACAAAGGCCGAAAGTCTTTACGCCCATGGTAAAAAAATTATTTTTATTATTGTAAAAAAAAATATGCTTTGTTTAGTAATAAAAAAAAGTAGAATAGTTAGCTAAGACATAAATATAATTATTTGATAATTTTATTTAAAGAAAAATACAGTTGAAAAGACTCGAAAACAGGACTATTTTTTTTAATGAACTTTTTTCCAACCCTTAAGTGAATAAACAACCTTCATTTTTTTTATCTTTCAGATGTTTATGAAAATAATGTTGAGAAAAGCAAGGTAATATTGAGACATCAATCTTCAAAGTTCATCTTTCATTTATTTATTTATTAATTTTTTTTTCTCGTCTCATGCTATCGCCAGGAATTTTTCCCCTGCGTACAACGCAGGAAAATCTTGCTTGCACCCGATGCAGCAGCTCCCGGAATTCCAAGCGACAACACAGTTTTGGTTTTCTCATCTTTTTTACATAATTTTTTTTTTTTTTTCATCTGTTTTATCTTTTTCGCTAAACGTACACATCGTCATTGAAATAGGAAATCGAACGATTGAACCACAATTAAAACGGGCGTCTCAAAGACGCGCGCAGCGCACAATTTTTTTGTTCTTTTTTCTTTTTATCGCTGGGAAGCTTTGAATATTACATGAGGAATCATCGCGTAATCTCCATTTAGAAATCTCTGCATGAATTTTTTTTTTTTTTTTTTTAGCTTTAAAGAGCTTATTTGTTGGTCGCAATACGAGATCGCGCACCAATTGTCCCGTACACGTAGTTGTTTTTTTTATTTTTTATTTTTCAATAAATCCTTGTACACAGTAGTATTGCACAGATATTCATTGTATTCGTTGTTTGTATTGCGTAATTTTTGTTTGTAGTTACGGAAATTGGCGCACGTGCTCGTTCGCTTATAATAAGAAGAATGATAATGATAACAACAGTAATAATAATAATAACAACAATAATGTAATAACATCGAGATGATAATATTATACAACGTGTATGTCATTTAACTGCATATAAACGTACAAAATAGGTTCAAAATCGCTACACACACATATATTTAATAATAAATTGTACTCTTTTACAATAAATACTATGCAATATGCGCGCGATACCTTTCGTTTTGATATTTCGCTCGCCAACTCGCTGGAATACTATTTAACATTCGTACCTTATTGGTGCATTGACCACTTTAATTGTTGTACATGTTATGTTCATAAACTGCATTGTGTTTAATTTCAATGGGGTAATATTAAAATTAATCTTGTATCGGATGTCTTGATCGCTAACGCACGACCACAACAAAATTACAACGCATTTATACCAGAACGGCACAAATCGTAGTTTCTTGGGGAGTATTTTGAAATCCATTGTTCAGCACTGAAATTAAAAGTTCTCATTCAGCGTCCCCAAAAAAATGTATCTACGTGTCGTTCTTGTGAATTTTAGGTTTATATTTTTCATCATTACTAGAAAATAAATTAAAAAAAAAACACNGCTAAGATTTCTCGACAGCTGGGATTCTAAAGCACAGAAAGAGAGACAACTGTATAGGTAAGAGAAAGGTGTAGTAGGTATATATGCAGTTAAACCATTTTTACAGTTAAAACAATTCTAGAGGACAAGGTTTTACTGTTTCTTTAGTTTCAAGGAGAGAGAAAATCGGTCTAAGGTGACCTAATGTGACATTCAGTAATCTTCTTTTTATTTTTCATCATCGTGTTCTAGCTCGCCATCCTTTTGACTGATAACTGGCGTTTTTTTTTATTTTCAATTTTTTCTTGTGGACGAATATAAGCGTGTACTTGTCTGTTTGTGTGTTACTCTATTTACAAACGCGCGATAAATCTAATATAAAAATAAGAAAATAACGCGCAAGAACGATTCTTTGTCTCCTTTTGTTTTTGTTTTTTCACAGTTGCACGCAGAAGATTTTTTTTTTGTGTTTTTGTTTCTTGTGTACGCTAAAACTAGTCAAAGGAAATTGTTTTTTTTTCTACACGGTTATCTAGATTTTGTAGATGAGTATTTTTGGAAAAATCTCGTTGGATAAAAAAGGTCTGGATTTATTTTCCTCTCTGATATTTTTACGTGCTTTCAGCTTTCCACTGCTTTTTTTTAGCTGAAATAAAAAAAATGCCTCGTCGAGGTTTGCCCATTTTGTCATGTATATGTATAGTTCCCCCATATACCTATAAATGTTATGGTCAGCATAAAATCACAAAAAAGTTAAGAGCTCGGCTCTGCGTAAATTTTTCCCTTCGCAGAACTCATAAACATCCTTTTTTCCTACGAGGTTTGAAAACGTTTTTTTAACTACAGAGTAAATAATAATATAATATTAAAATGGACCCAATGAGCAAAAAAAAGCCGAGAACTGAGAGCACACCAACGATTATTTATTTCTCATTGTTACTATTAATTTTAGTTTACAAATCCTAAGCAACCCTGTAATATTGCTTTGCGACACTTTTACGGTCAACCCGACGGTCTTTTATGCATATTAATTATTAATGTTATTGTTAATATATTATGCGTAAGCAGTAATTGCTTTTCTTTTTTTTTTTTTTTTTTTCCAAATCTCGTGTTAAAAATCATCCCGCCCAGCGAGCAAAGGTTGGCACCTTTTTGCAACTTTGTGTTTCCTTTTGTATATAATTATATAAAAATGTTGTACGTATGATATAAATAACCATAAATTTTGTGTTCAGGAGCTTGATCGTTGTTGTCGGCCTTCGGTATATATTTTTTTTATTCCAACTTGTTTTTTTTGCTTCGATGCTAAACTTGTATCAGTGTTCGTTAATACAAAAACAAAAAAAAAGGTCTGGATTTATTTTCCTCTCTGATATTTTTACGTGCTTTCAGCTTTCCACTGCTTTTTTTTAGCTGAAATAAAAAAAATGCCTCGTCGAGGTTTGCCCATTTTGTCATGTATATGTATAGTTCCCCCATATACCTATAAATGTTATGGTCAGCATAAAATCACAAAAAAGTTAAGAGCTCGGCTCTGCGTAAATTTTTCCCTTCGCAGAACTCATAAACATCCTTTTTTCCTACGAGGTTTGAAAACGTTTTTTTAACTACAGAGTAAATAATAATATAATATTAAAATGGACCCAATGAGCAAAAAAAAGCCGAGAACTGAGAGCACACCAACGATTATTTATTTCTCATTGTTAACTAAAATTAGACAAATTTTTTCTTACGAACCGAGTTTTCTTATGTGCACATTTGTTATTGTGCCCAAAACAGACATTTTTTACAGAAAAGGTATACAATTTAGCTGTTTTCAAGAGGTTATAAAATAGCATGTCTGCTACGCACTGTTTGTAAACACGCAAGTACATGTTCAATGCTCCATTCTTAGGAGACTCTTCGTGTGACTGCGCTTCTTTTTTAGGCCTTTTTTCCTCAGTTGTCTCTTTTAGACTCATTAATTTATGTGTATATTTGATCGTTATTTAAGATTTCTGTAACACAAATTTTGCTGTGTATATACTATATAAGTTAACTGTTTATTGGAACTAGAAAGTTAAAGGGCTGTGCTTCCATGAGTTAATGATAAAATGTTGTTTCATGTTACGAAGAAAAGCACAACTCAGATTTTGTCGTTTAAAATGACATGAAGAAACTTGAGTTGAGTTTTTTTCGTCCGTCGACAAACTTGGGCTATATTCAACGGCTTGGACGAAAAAACGTACGTTACAAATTTAGTGTTTGACACTTTGATCTAAATTGCTGAACAAACAAAGAGCAAGCTGCTGAAGAACGATTTTAAATAAATTTTAAAAAAGTAGATACCTCGAACGACGAGGATGACGAATTAAAAAAAAAACCCACGATTAAAAGAATTGTAATCGGTAAGTTTTGTAGGCATGTAGTATTTTTCTCGATTCGAATGTTTTTTATAATTATAGTAAATCAACAGCATATTATACTTGATTGGTGACGGTAAAATACCGTTAAGCGACAGTCCCAAGACTCTGGGTTTGCAGTCCAGTCACCCACGCACATATCCACAAATGGCGGGCCGACATTGATTTTGCATGAAACTTGAGTTTCCTTGAGACAATAAAATACGTATGCGTGCATAGGTATGTGCGCACGAGCAACCCAATATAAAGCGATTGTATGGGTACGAGCTCGGATACGAGGACAGTTTTCGAGGTAAATAAAATTAACTTTGGGATGAATCATTCGCGCGCACTGCGTTTTTTATGGACATGTACGAGTATATAAATATACATGTATACGCGACTTTTCAGATTATTTTTGTTTTTCCGTACAAAACCGATATAGTTGTCAAGCTGATGATCTGGAATGCGTAAAAGTTTTATTTTACCTTTGCTGCGATGTTGACAGGAATTCTGATTACTGAGAAAATTTTTTGTCCCCTTAATAACAAGCAAAACTACCCAAAAACATAAGGTCACGAAGAAATAAATGGCAAACTTTTGAGACATTTGATAAATTTTTACATCTTTTTTAAACAGTAGAACAACAATTTAGCTCACCTTGAATCCCTTATTTCGCGATTTATCGCCTATGAGACATTTCACGCGCTCTAATAAAATATGTATGAAAAAAACGACGTTCGTGCATTAATAAAAGTAACACGATCTCGAGCTCATGGCATAAATTATCATCATTTAAAAAAAAGTCTACTGTTGAATTTTATACTTATACGTATACATATACACGACACATTCAATAATTAGTGAAAGTCTGTATTTGGCAACCGCATGAACTGAAGTGATAATTAAATAGCGGAACTGGCGTTCATAGATAAGAATATTTTTTGAAAGGCTTTGTAGTTTACCGTTATTGTTCTATGTAAAAAGAGACACTGTCAATTCAAATAAATTTTAGTTATTCAAATTTCTGAAGAAAAATGCATTTCTGGCAAATTAAGGTACTTAAATGTCGTGTGGATACCACTTCTGTAAAAAAAGAAACCCAAGGTATATAGCAGCTGCAGAAGAAGAGTACCGTTCCTTTTTTACGTAAATTTACAAATCCTTATTTCATACTACATAAACCTTT